ATTGTGGAGAAAGTCTAAAGCGATTGAAGTAAGAAATGCCAAAAAATGTAAGGAATTATTCAAGGTTTTGGGTATAAAATGAGGAATTTACCAATAGCCAGTGCGATTTCCGCTAGATATATCCGAATAAGTTCCAAGGAGAAATAAGTCAGTTTGCAGAACAGTTCCCCGTTCGGCACATATTCTAGAACTAGAAACGTTAATTGATTAGATTAGGCCTAAATAAGACATGAAGCTTGTGTAAATTTCAAAATAATAGGAAAATACATGTAACTATTAATTAAATCATTAACTAGGGCTTGGAATAAATGCATTAAAAACAAGAAATGGGTGCATTAAAAATGCAACAAAACTTTAAAAAAGATAAAAATACACATTTTAAATGTACAACCAACCAACGGATGATATTTCGCCAACTTGATCTTTTTAATATCGCCTAACCCTTCCAATCGTTGTTCGTCCTTGGAGCAACTCCTCGTAGCAGAGTTGTTCCGCATTGGAGCTGGCATTGAGTCTGCTCCCTAAGAAAGTACAGCTCCATTCGGATTCCACAACGATTGTTTGTAACTCTTGCAACATACAACCCGCCCCAACGCAACGGTGGCTATTAGGCTCATCTGAACAACAAAACTCCCCTCGTCTTTCTCCTCCTACTTAAGCATTGTTTGCTGAGTGAATAACAATATTGGTACCTGATGTCATTTGCCCGCGTGTCAGAACAGAATATATCGAAACAAGGCAACATGAAACGCCAACCTGAGCTGGTGCCATTTTCTGGACTATGCCCCATCCGTGACCGGGTCACAGGGCAAGAGGGTATGCTGCAGAGTTATGCAGCCGCGCTTATCACTTCCGACCCTGTCAACCAGTACCACCAGGCAGAAACACACATAGCTAGCGCATATTCTTATAAATATCGACCTATTCTATCGTTTACATCCACCAAACGTATGTACCTTCTTAACTTAATTTAGTTGGTAGTCTGACACGACACCGAAGGTTTGACATTTTTCAATAGTAAGGGAAATTTCGGTCACGTCAATAGCAGAGGGTAAAAAACAGTAGCGCGTGCATACCGCGCTCGACTGTAGTGAAACGATAACCCTTTTGTCGCTCTCTCCACACCAACAGAACGTATTTTGAAGAAAGCCAGTTTTTCAAGGTGGTCACTGCTGCAGTGTAACGCTTCTCACCCACCGGTAGATTCTCCTAAATTCGACCTGATTTCCCGGCTGTATTTGATACCCATCTACAGAAGGTCATTCGTATCAGGGATTACTAACTACTATTATCAGTAGTGAAGAAACTTGAGGCCTAGAGGACTTATCTGCTGCTTAACACCAGCGAAGCATCAGCATGACTTGCACGGAGTGCACAGCACCACCACATCATTTAACTTGTAATTGTCCCTGTGAGAGAACCGCCGCGGTAGCGTTCGACTTGCTGAAAGTTTTCGATACCGTTCGTCCCACCGCAGTACAGTTTGTAAGTCAACTCGCCTTATCTCGACGAAAAATATTTTGAGAGAACATTCGGGCAATGCATATAAACGCGTAAATGCCTCGTAACCTCGCCAACTTACTTAATTTTGTATGGAAAACCGGCTTATTTATGAGGTTTACGCGATTACGAGGCATTTACGCGTTTAGATGAATACCCCTATTATGAAAAACTCGGTGTTTGAAGATTGAAGAGACCAAAAATAATAATTCCAAACTTCGAATTTTAAAATTTTCTTACGTATATGCAAATTACGGCGATTTTGCCACGCATCCACTTGTTGCACAATAAAAGGGTGATGGCCACACAACTTCTGGATATCCGCTTCGTCTTTTAATTGCTGCACGCCATTTTCCTCAATTATCTGTAACGTAGTAAACACATGAATTAATCATAAAGCACTAAGTAGAACGCAAATGTGTCTGTAGGCAGTACAAATTAGTCATCGGAGACATTAATTGTACAAGTCCATTGTGAAATTCATTTGAGTAGGTATTATGAAATATTTTATTAAGTTGCATTTTTACTTACTCTAGACTTTTTCAACACTTTAAGCGCATAAAAGGGTGCAGGATGTAGGGGCGTTGACGATCTGCCGCCTGCCTGCTTTTGCACCGCTGCTGCTGGTGACTGCTGGTTTTGCAATTCTTGTGCGTAGTGTTTATTAATTACTTTGAAGACAACACCGAACGCACCCTTAGCCACGAGATGTACAATGTGGAATTGTTCGTTGCGACTGGCCTCCTTAAAGTGTGAACTGAATATGGCATTGGTGAGCGGCGTGTGCCATTGAGTTTTGGATCGCCGCTGCTGAGCTGAAGTTAAACTGCAAATAATAAACATTAAACTACATTAACAACAATAAACGAGTTTACATGAATATTAAAAAAATAATAATAATTTCTTTTGCATTGTATTGAAAAACAAGTAGACACTGATGATTTCAGTTCGCTTACCTTTTTCTGGTTGACTTATTGCGATTGTGGAATGAACTTCTATTAGCACCACCAGAAAAGCTCCAATTTAGACGACCACTTAGGCTACCGAAACTCCAAGCGGAAGCCTGTAAGAGATATATAAGAATAACTTTTGAGAAAAGATCTGGGAATGAAATAATAATAATAATATTTTGGCGCTTACACTTTTGCCAAGTGTTTGATCGAGTTTCTGAACTAATTTCTGGAGTGCGTTTTGATATTGTTACAAAAATTAAGGGACCTACAGTTTAACGCCGCCTATGAACGACAAATGGATTTTATGAGAGGCTTTTTCAAGGCAGAAATACACATCGAAGTTGCGGGTTAATAAAAACAAAATCTGTTTTTATGTTATTATTTGTAAACTTTTCTTTAGTTCGACGAATAAAACAAAGGTCAAGAAATGGTCTAGAAAAATTTATTGAGCCAAATTTTCTTAAGCAGTACGAAATTCTTAAGAAATTTTCTACGCTTTCTACTATGGTTTGGTAAAGTTTGTTTGTGAAGAGTACAAGGCATCCTTGTTTTCAATAGAAATATACACCCGTTCAATCATTTCGTAAGGAAAAAGTGAGACAGCAGGCTGCAAAGTATCAGATGTCAGACCGTCTTGAACACTAAATAACTACTATTTATTCACACGCACGAAGTCCGTAATTAGCTTTATACATTGAAATAAGCAAAATAAGCATCGGCCCTGGTTATTAATAAAAGTAAATCGCATTTTTAAAGCTTCGAGCGCTTTGAAAAACGTGGAACAATTATAAACTGTCAGTCAGTTTATTTATTTCTGTAAAAGATCTTTCCTGCTCTCACTTTTTTAAATTATACGGGTTTAAAAAAGTAATAAACCATATAAAGAAACAAAAACACATTACCAAAAAAGCAAAAAACCGATGACTTTGTCGTTGAAGGTGTTATACAGCTTATTTGAAATGTGAGTATATTTTCGTGATAAATACATATCGTCGTTTAAAGTGTAAAACGTAACGTGGTTCGGCAAAACCTCCCATCTGATATTTGTGCCAAAAATGAGATTTGCTCATCGGAATATGCTGAATATGTTTTAAGAAAGTTGCGATATTTACCGATGTTGAAATTTTTGTAGAAAATTTGTATATGTAAGCCGTTTAAGTATTACCATTGTAATATTTATCGCATTAAGATTATTAATTAATTAAATTGACATGCACCATATTCAAAAATAGTTTCGAAATAAAGAGGGTTATTTCGTTCGACCGCCATACTGACTTATTTACTTTATTGAATTTAACGTTTTAAGCATGTGGTAATCCTCTTTAAAAATAGTATATATTTTCATCTAGGTTAAAACCTATTCATGTGCCAAATTTTGCCAAAATCCGTCCTGACCTTTCAGCGTGAAAAAATAACAAACAT